CGCTCGTGGCGGGACTTAGATGACGCTGCGATCGAATCTGGCAGCATCGTCGAACGCAGTGGGACTTTCAACATAAAATAAACAGCTGAGAATATTCAAATACAGATGACTCGATTACCGAAATGGCGGCTGGCCGGGTTCCTTTCACAGACCAGCCAAGAATATCGGGCGAACGCCCTATGGATGAGGAAGTCAGGTTAATTCAAAGCGATTCGTAAAACTAAGGAACCTAACCTCCCAATCTGCAATCTCTCTACAACCCCTCGTCTCTTGGTAACCGCACACGTCGAGTGTGGGACCCTTGGATCTCGATAACTTCTGATTGCATCGACATTCTCCCTTTTCTGCATTCGTTCAATCGTTGTAACGGGAATGCTTTGTCGTGGCCAAGAAAAAAGGACGAGTATAATGTCGTGTTCGATGCACAGCTTCCTGGCTGTATAGAGGAGTGAAAGTGGATACTGAGTTGCAGGGGATGCAAAAGGGATTCTGTGAGAAGGAATCGCTGATTAATTCCATTTTGTACGTCGACGAATCGTGATCGAGAGCTACTTTCGTGGCGGAGAATTTAATAAGGGAAATGGGGTTGAACGAGAGACCGTCGAGATGTGGGGCTAATGGTCTTTCAAAGCTTTCGTTTGTTGTGTCAGGGCTTTTTTGGGAAGGTCGAGATAAAGAGGGAAGAAACGTACGGAAGTAGATGGGGGAAACAAAAAGGTAGGAGAACAAGGTAAACCAGGGGCTGTGTATTTATTGGAGTCTGTGCTCTCTGAATGAGATTTGAGGAAAGAGGAAGTGCATCAGGGCGGGCAGAGTAGCTGAATCGCTATACAGATAAATCGCTATAATAGTTGGTTGGTAATTACAGTTAGTAACAATAGCTTATTAATTAAGATACTTATAATCGTAATAATTATTAAATTTAATTCAATTAATTCATACAAGGGGCTATGGATGTAGTAAGTATTTACATGTATGGCTGAAAAATTTGTAAAGATAATATTGTGCAAACAATATGACATACGGAATAAGAAGAACATTACAAAAATAATTAAATTAGAAAATAATTCAACGGTATATACGATATTTAGGATGAACATTTATTGCAAATATGAACCGTGGTGGCGCTAATGAGTTAAATGAAAAATCGTCTTGAGACTGCCGAAACACTTACTCGTGAAAGGGTTAAATTGGTTACCTTATTTCTATTAATAAAAATTTTTTCATTTCGTTTTGAAAATGTATTATATTACATTTTGTTACGATTATTAGCTAAAGATTTTTCTAACAAATTTTAACAGATTATAATTTTCTTTCCATATAAAGTGTCCTTGGTAATAAAAGACTCTCGTGTGGATAAAGAATTGAATTATCAGGTCAGACCATAAGTTCGCAAGTATTGTGCCTTTTTTGGCACAGATTCATTGCACCAGCCATGCCAACTCTCATTATATAAACTGTACAAAATAATGGCGAATGCATTGCACTTCGAAGAATGAACACATAACCTAACAAAAACATTCTTAGTGCACACAAGACAAAAAAGAGAAATAGCGAAAGGTTAAACAATGTCTTAAAAATATTGCAAGAAATAACGGAAAACTTTGTTTTCTGTATATTTTGTTTGAGAATTTCTGCGAGGTAAATATTCCTGGAAATGTTCGGAATTCTTGTTGGCATTTAGTTTTAAGCATCGCGTGACAAAGTGTACAGGGTAATTCGAGAGAGACGTTGGAGAACTTTGAGATACAAAGCACTTTGGAAAATGGACAAATGTCACCCGGACGTGGGGGTTTGAGGATTGACTTGATGATCTATGTGAAAATATCCTTTGTCTGGGAGCGAAATTTTATTTTCAACGCGTTCGTTCAAACGTGGAAAAGTTTATAATTAAATAAGTAACTAACAAAATATTATTTTTTTGAAAATGATAATAAATCTATTGATAAAAAATCTAATTTAATATCAAGATGTGCTGTAACAAAATTTTTGAATTTTTAAAACCATTCGATGCGACTTATTTTTGAAATATTATTGTACTTTCATATTGCACTTTTATATATTATTTTTATGACTCGAAACTAGGGATATTTATAGTGATAAAAGTTATTAAAGATGCGAATTTTGCACTGCAAATAATTCATCGTAAATATTAAGATAGTCCAACGCTGATAGAATTTTAAACTCAAGGACTTTGATTAAAAAATTACACGAGTCATGTAATCTATGTAACAAATACACACGTGTTAATGAATTATACGATACTGTTGTATCTCACATGCGCCTCAATTTCAAAACATCGTATGAAATGTTATATTTTACTTTCGAATATTCTAATTATAAGCTTTCAAATATCAAATTCCAAAACTCTTGTAGAGAAACTACTTCGTCTTAATTATACTTCCTACCAGATTTTCCACGGTTAGAAACTTTAATTTTGATTAAAGCTAGTAACCTATCTCCTTAAACAGTTACGTGATTAATCCTCTCTTTATCAACACATAAAACATTAGGTACATTTTAAAATAAATTTATTGATTCAATGCAGAATCCAAACCTAACCTAACTCTGTCTAGATCGCTAATTATAACCTACTTGCATACTCGTTCGAATATTTCTATCTTTATTTATAAAGAAAAACTAAAATTATTTTCCTATAAATTCATCGATATAAGGTTCTTCGATAAGAGAAAGCTCAAGATCAAAGCTGTTAGATACTTTATGACCCGACGAACTCATCTCGGAATCTATGGATAGATCATTCCGTATCGTTATAAACGGAATATTTAAAGCAGTGAGGTAACAGCTGGAAATAATTTCCTTATTGCTGCAAGTGTGTTAAAAAATTTGAAGTCACTGTGTTCCTTATGATTTACGATTGATGCGCACTCTACTGGAAAATTATTTCCTCTCCCAGCGAAGGTCCAATAAATATGATAATTCTTTCGAATATAAAATATACGATTACGATACAAAACCATAAAAGGAATTCTCCTGTTCACACGTGCCTTCAGAGTACCAAAATATATTCTATAAAACAATGACGACATAACCTTACATTTTATATAAAGATGGCACGCTCTGTGACCACAGCAGCCATTTTTCAATATCTCCACAACTCTTTTACCGAGAGCAAGTACAAATTAAATTGATAAAACGAACGAAACGAGACTTAAAAGATTTCTAATCGCGTTATATATTTTATGGATCAATTTTGAAGAAAATAAAGCATCGAAAAATTGGAAGAAAGCATAAAGTATAGCAATAGTATCGTGGTAACTAGAAATTTCAGGGACACTTGCCACGCGTGAAGTTTAGCAAGGGCTAAGACACCTGGAGTAACAAGTTTTCTTATCAAACTTTCGAAAGACCACGAGTGTTTACCGAGGACACGCTCGTATGATATGTTCCGATTTCCCTGGAAAGTGTCTGTGCTTCTCTTCCGGTCGCCCGTATGGAAAACGAGGTCAGACATTTTTCGTTTATTCGTAAGAACTGAGACAGTTACCGGTATGACCACGTACTCTAGATAAAAGCAATGTTCGACTGCATAGTGGCGCTAATGCGATTCGCTTTGAACATGGAACACTTTGCGCCTAGTTAAGTTGTAAACGCGAGGGCACAAATGATGTCGCGAAGAAAATAGTACTCGTTTATCCATGCTTCAATTTTGTAGCTCAGGTGTTTCATAATCTCGAGCGAAATGAAGAGAATTTTGGTTATGAGAGGTCTCCTTTATCTCCGAATTCTTTTTTCATGTACTATCATTTTCTAATCTAACGTTGATAATCATTATTTTGATTTCGAAGAAAAATTCCTGTAATTTATCTGGGATTAGGGATTAGAAATGTCTTTGAAAGAAAATTCCTACCGTCGTATTGCTTTTTGGGAGTATCTTTCTCTGCTCAAAATAATTTGTAGAGAAAGATTTTTCGATATTATGAGAACCTTTTTTCAATTAGAGATCCTTAAACTAAGTTTCGTTTAGTTTTTAATTCATTGAAATCGCTAATTTCTGCTTTCCAGCGTGTCACAGTCACGCAACATACGCACTCCACTGCCAATAACTATGAAACGCTTTGAAACGGTTACACTGTCTTGGCCGATGTCCAACGAAATGGCGCTAAACTGACCAGCGTCGGAATGAAATTAAGGATAGCACAGGTTTTCTCATCCACGGGCAAATGGAATACGAATTCAACTCGGACGGTTAATGGAAGCGAATGCAGTATCTCGTTGGTAGCAAATTAATTGCCGGACAAACGGTCGCTTCCTCTAGCCTGTTGGCGATTTCGCCTGGAATTTCTCATCGATACACGGAACTAAATCAACATTGTGAATCCAAAATCGTTTTGATTTATCTTCACTGTTCGCTAAAACGATTCGTTCAAGTGCTGCCCTCGCAATTTTTCAGACAAATCTACAGCAACATCTATGCCACCAACCGCTTAACAAATTTGGCATAACAATAAATTTATGATACAGTTATTCGATTCGTGATATATACGAAATTATATTATACCTATTTATTTACTCGAATTTTATTGGAAGCCAATAAGTGGTGGGCGAAAGTACATACCGAATCGAACTTCGAGTTTCACGTATAAATCTTAATCTACTATATCCCTATTCTACTTTTAGTTCCGCGTAAAAACGTAATCCTAAAATACGCTGCAACTATAAAAAGAGGGAGCTTTCATTCGTTCCTGTAATTCCTCGAAATCCAGAAGCTATGATTAAACAGGTGCACAGTTCGTCCTGGCACTTGGACCGATCAATATTTTTCATTCGATACACGGTGTGCTCTTCGTAGAATTTATCGGGAAAAGCCTTTTATGAAAACTAAAAAACAAAATTCAAGAGTCAGAAACTGCTGCAAAACAACATCTGCTGTTTGTTCCTTAGCTAATGGATCAGTACGTATGCTGAAGAGCCAAACGTGTATCGCGGAGTGTAATAATAGGTACAAAGTATGATACTATGAATCATGAGTGACTTACACATGTGTTCGCCAAGCGGCCAGACTTGAGGTCCCGAATTCACCTCAACGAGAATGGTGGGTATGCAAATTAAAAGGACGCAGAGATCAGCCACGCTCAGGTTCACCAGGAAGATGTTCGTGCTGTTCCTCATATCTTTACCCCGGAATACAACGATTGGTACCTGAAATCAAAGAAATCATCAGTATCGATACTCCAGGCGTTCAATCGTGAAGGTGTGAATTTTGAAATATGAAAGGACCGTTATGGCATCGCGAACTAGCAGAAAGGTTAATTAACGTACCAAAATGTTTTTAAGTCACGTAATAGTACATCGAGTGACTTTTTAGTAAATTCTAGTTACATTTTTTATAGTCGTGATATAATACCAAGAACTCAAAACTAGTATCGACTAATAAAAATATTTAATTAACCTACGTAATTAATATTTCATTAACACAAAATTAGTTTCCATGATATTAGGTGATTTGAAAATATATAATACATAGTTCAGTGAATTAGTATTATCTTTTAATGATGATCTAATAACAACATTCATGATTTAAATCATAATGGATTTATTAATTACGTAGTAATAAGTTCTTGAAATAATTGCGTGTATCGAGAACAGCGAGCACAGTCATTTGGAAGAGATGAGATTGAATAAAAATTAACACTGTCTCACTGGTGTAAATAAATATTATAAAATAATTTTCGTATACAGCATTCCATTCCTTATTAAATTTTATTACGTTATTGGAAAATAACTGCCGTGCGATATGCGAAATCGCCGACTGGACTTACCATGAGGTTCCCAATTATGCCGAGGACCATCACTACAATGCAGACAACCATGGACGTAGTGCGAATGTAAGCTGGTAACATGTAGAGAGCCGCGGTGCCATTTTCCGACTCGATCACTGAAATGTTACAGTTTATTTTTAATTCCATTAAAAAGCACTTATCGATATTCACGACTCTACATATTTCAAAACATTTTTCTTTTTTAAATAGAAAAGCGTAAGATAGTCGCAAAGCAATACATATAACAATCGTATTACGGCAAAATAAAGATAACGATGTTACTGCTTTGATATACAGGATTCTCAATAACGCAAACACATTTATAGTTAAACTGCACAGTTTCAGTCGTATTTTGCTTATTTACCAATAGCGAAGAATAATAAATTTAATCACGTGATGGCAGCATACCCGATAGCACATCGAGACTGTTGTTTCCAGTAACGGTAGTATAACACGAAGTATTTAATTCGAGTGGGACACTGGACACCGTGGACAACATTTTCGTCCTGGGCTTGCCCCGCCAAGAACGTTTTCAAACGTGCACGTTGTCCCGCCTGCTGTCACACGAGATAATAATTCCGTATCGTTAATTGTCCATCGTGTCCGTTTTATTCTCTGCGATTCCACCTTGCGTACCAACAGATCGCGTCAGGCGTACGTACATTCGCGTACCCTGTCGCGCGTCAGTCTGCACATAACCAAACACGCGTATGAAAGTTACATATTTACAGATCGCGGTAACCGTCACGATCATTTACTTCGTCTCGTCATATATGCTCGGAAACTTCCTTACGTCGGCAGCTTCATGTTCAAACCGACGCGAATTCGTGAATTCGAAACGCTACTGAATTCCCAGACACGTGGAGATAACTGGAGAAAATCCATGAGGGATCGTAAAACGAACGCCAACCCCATTGGACGAGCGTCGGATACAGTTTCCTTTAACTTCCAGGCAACCGTGGCTTTCGTTAACGCGACGGTATTAAGTGACATTATAAACTGCTTCCTCGTGACTGCGAAGTCGTTTTGCTACCTTAAGCCGATACTTTAGAGAGCGGCGAGTCCTATCCGTACCGGCAATCGGTCGTTCTACCTACAATGCACGCGAACGTCCTCCTTAACCACGTACTTGTCATTCTTTCGAGACGATCCATTCCAATTTGGGTACTCAGCCCGCTGGCCTCATGACAACGCGTTAAATGAACTAAACGAGTTCTTCTCGCAATGGACTACGGCTTTATGACAAATCAATGTTTTAATTGTTCCTGGCCATTTTAAAATTGATATTGATATATATGTAGGCTAAATGGATCGCTTTTCAATTACGCGAAATTTACCAGAACCACCGTCCAATGAATCTTCGTAGTTTATTGAAAACGAAGCGTTCGCAAATAAGATCAAAGGATAAGTGATGTAATGCTGCTTTCGATCGTAATAGAAATAGCGGAATGTTTTCAATTTACTGCCAAATCGTTCCTTATGTCAGAGGTAAACGTATCAGAGAGAGATAAATATTTTCACCCTATTGCCTCTTTGTAGGACTGTCTGCCTATCTCCCATAAACGCCGTATGTGGGTCGGGGCATTTGTGGTATTTACGTTGGCATGATCAGTTAACATCAATTAACTCTTGTGCTATCAAAATCTATTTGAAATCTAATTCCAACTCGCGTCATTTAAGCTTTTACCTGGTACGTGTCAATGAAATATGAATTACGTTTATGGATCGACCTACCCTAATCGCGTTAACCTTATCAAGTTTTACTTCCAGAAATAGTTCCTGTTTGTCCGTTCGTCTAAGATATATTGACACCCTCTCATAATAATTATCCCTATTTCTATAATATCTCTATAATAGTTTTTAATAATCATCAAATAAAATAAAATATAAAAATTTAATATTGACACTCCCACATAATAATTATCCCTATTTCTATAATATTTCTATAATAGTTTTTAATTTTTATAATAGTTTTTAATAATCATAAAATAAAATAAAATATAAAAATTTAATCGTGAAATCTGTAATTATATTATTGATCGTTTCTTCATTTTTTATTGAAATTGGCAAAAGCTCGATATTTTTCCGAAATAATAAAAAATTTTCTGATTTTCGATTCACGTTTCTATTTCATGAATTTTTGATCAATTATGTTAAAAGTATTTAATTAAACAGCGAATGTCGATGGTTCGGCTCAACCCTGGTTAATTTCAAAATCCATCTCACTGTTTGCAATGATTGTTTAGTGACTGTCACTAATAGCTTATGCTTTCCGATTATACAAACAACACGGACGGAAGCTCACCTTCAGACCTTCTTCGCCTTTAATTATCTCGTGTAATTAAACTTCGCACGGTAGCCTGTCCCCTGGTTGGAAAGTAATTGACAACGCGGTTTTGCTTAAAAGAAGGAACTTTCCATGATAAACTTTCGATATTTTCACTTCACAATCGAAGAAAAAAAGATCATGCATTGACTTTTTATATTTCGATTATAATATCCCCTCGTTTCGATCTTTCTAACCTAACAAATCAATCGAACGATTACATTATTTTTATAGGTTATCGAACTAACATCGAGTCACATTTCATTGTCTACTTGAAATTTTACGATGATATCGATCTTTCTTCTGTTCATTTCCCTTGTTATTTTCATTCGTACATTGTACGTCAATATTTTCAGTCATTTTCCGAACGTACCATTCCTTCGCCACCGGTATTTTCGCGGTACTGAATAGAGAAAACACGAGCGACCATTACATCGAACATCACCGGCTTTAAGACATCGTAAAACTTCGCAAACTTCCTCGTGAATATTTTCACTCGTCCCTACTGGTACATTTGCACGAATTTTATCCTCGAGCGAGTAATTCGAGCCGTGTATTTAGAACACTATGCTGCCTTTTCGACACCTCACTTCGTAAATGTTCGTAAACGACGATCACGTTTCGTTTCGAAACATTCGAGGCTATTATTACGATTCGAACTATCGCAAAATCGGGAACTCTGACTGGTACGAATGACACGTGACGAACGACAAGTTTGGAGAGATCACATTTCCCGAACCACGACAACCTTATCGAGCAAATTGTACCGGTGAACTGAATGAATACCGCTCGGCCCGCCACGATTCTCGAACGCGGCGCCCTACGTAGCGCATGCGCAGTCCTCGTTTTTTCTTCGATTCTTTCGCACGCACATTTTGATAACGTAATCAATTTTGTTTTTGCTATAATGCCATTAGTGAAGATTCGTTACGCAACTGTTCTTAATTTCTCATTTTTAACACGCAACGAATAATATCGATACGACGATTACCGGTGTATTATCGATATATCGTGGTAATAAATCGAATATCGATACACGCATAATGATGTTGGAAAACGAAAATACGAAGGAAAAATGTAATATATTTTGATAATTGCGTATTCTCATTGAAATACGAACGAGTTTAATTCCCGGGGCATTGAAATTGAATTTGTATAGGTTAATACCGGAATCCATTGATGCGTTAAGCGAAGTTGATTTTATTCATATTTCCAGAGAGGAAGATTTATATTTCAATGCAGATATGAAGAGATGAACTCGAAAAGAAGATTTAATATGCGATGCTTACGTATGTTGACGTGTGTGAGCTCTGTAGAAAAAAGTATCACAAATTATATCCGAAATGGCGGAAAAGATTGAACATCGAGAGTATCGACTGTTGCTGTTCTAACAGATCTATGTGAAGTCTGATCGAGGGAGCAAATAAGGATGGAAAAAGAAATTTTGTTTTAAATTTTATTTCCTTTTCGTTTCCCGGAAGAGCAATCGTTCTCATCGGAACGATGAGTATAAATTTCTCCTCTATGATTTATAGTTTCGTTTTATTTCTATATTCTTGCGAGTGCCTTTTTAATGAGATCTCGTGATCGAATTTCTCAAGCAGTTATTAATTATTGATATCACATACAAAGGTAGAAAACTTTAAATAATCTGAATCAATTACTTTTACCGTACTATATTCATTATTTATATTATACTACAATATTGTACTATATTTATTATTTTAATTTTATTTTATAACTTTAAATTCTCTGTTAGAGTCTCTTGTAACGCTGTTTTATAATTGCAGATTTAGAAGATCACGTATTACGACGCTGGATTTGCATTGCGATTTCTTTCTCCTTCTTCGATCCGTGGACATTCGTAATTACTTGAGACGCATTGGAAGACGAATCATCATGGAACCGTATTTCTTCAACATGTTTCGAAACGATCGCTGTGCGCGTACATTGTACCTCCGTTACAAGGTGGCAACCGGGGTACAAAAGAAGAAGGTAAAAGAAGTTAAATGGAATTCCGTATTAGGAATCCAAGCACATTCCGTTTGGCTCTCACAATCCTCTCTATTCACTCGATCCACGTGAAACGTTTTGTCAGCTTTGCTATTTTCAGCCTGAAACATTCGATACGGAATCTAGAGAATGGTATTCGTACTTGGCGTAATTCGACGTCATTATTATTACGATTGTACGTTAAAGTTTGTTCTTACCTTTTACTTTTGTATTTCCTGTTCATTCATAAGCTTGGAATTTTCATTTTAGACAGGAAACAATGTGAAGAAAAATGGTGCCAATGAATTTCCAAAAATACCGCAGCAGAAAAGAAGATCGCCATTGTCCCTCCAAAGGTTATCACGGATGCTTGAATCCGACCACGACCATAATGGATCCCATCCATTGTCCACGCATATTCGGCGTAATCTGATTTTATCGAGAGATAAAGAGCGAAAGGGAGAGGAGAATATATCTTGCGGATCAAAATGTTCCCACTCCCAGTCAATTTAGAGTCTCTCGACTAATAAGCTCACCGTGATTTATGACTGCAGTCATAATCATGATCGTTCATGCTACTTCTGACTTAACATCTTCGCATCCGGCAATTTCTACACTTTCTTAGTATGTTCACTGCTCGCCAGACCTTTGTTACATGTGTCACATGGTCATGTATGTGATAAAACTGTGTATATATGTTTTGCGTAGAATATCATGTAAAGTTTTATCACATTTTTATGATTTTTTACTCATCTTGAATTCGAAATTATATTATAAAAATATGTACTGACTCAAGCCCAGTAAACCAGTAAACGTGTTACAACTAAAAGTCGCTGGAACAAAAATAAGCAGATTAATCCTGGTTTCTGTCATTAACAAGAGTATACTAAAAGAAAGGTAGTACCCCATAGGATTTTTAAGTTCTTTAATATTTTGATACTAATAAAACGATTTAAATATACATCAGTGATAATTTATTATAGCTTATAAATAATCCGTTCGAATAAAATTTCAAATATTTTTGATAGTATTGGAAAAAAAGAAAAAGAAACGCAGGAAGAATTAATCTGATAGCAATACTAACGAATTCTTTTAATACTTACACGTATATAACAAAGACTTGATTCCATGTCTTCTTCCTTTTCTGTCCTTTTCCTATATATATTTTCTTAGTAGCGAAA